AATTTAATTTTAAAACAATATTGCGTGTGGTGTAATTATAGGTAATAACAATTAATAACAAAAAACTCATATCTAAATATCTATACATTATAACTAATTAACAACAATAAATCCAATAATAAGCACAATCATCAGTAAATTAAAAGAGAATCCAATTACTCGAGAATAAATGGGAGCTCTGAACATTACTATATCCGTTGCATATCCTTACCTCTTTAACAGTCCTCACTATGTTTTGAGGTTATCGGCTACCTTCAATTACCTTATGTGAGAATTATAGTGTCACAAGAAATATATCCCACGTATTGACCCGATAATATACTTATCAGCATCACGTCCTATCCCCAATCTATGCTAATCACTCCGTCACTAAGTCCGTCGCATCATTACTCGTTGATTAGTCGCGTCGTGAAGCCTTGTGAGTCTCAAGGGCGGTCAGTTATGCCTTATCATTATCATTATCGTCCTCCTGTGATTATGGTTCTGTTAGCTCGAGGTGTAGCTGTCATTCATTTCCGTGAATCTCCGTGAGTTCTGTTCCGGCCATAGGATTGCGCGATTGCGGCGGTCGGTTGAATGCCGATCCGACGTTGCCGGCCAGTTGCCGCTTCGGCCGTCAGCCCCTTGACGCCCTACTGTGCCGTCGTCATCGCGCAGCAACGATACCACTCAGATGATGCCAAATGTCCGTGATAGCCAGCTAGATGGCTCTCAAAGTTAAGTCAATTGGTATATAACAAATTTGTTTGCTATAAGAGTGCGAATGACCAGCCAAGGGGAACGGGGCAGGTCTGGTGAGGCTCGCTATTTGACCTCGAGTCGGTGTGTCGTCGGCATGTGTGAGGTGTCTCGAGTTTCTCCGGCGTGCGACTCTGCGTGGTATCTGCGTCCGCGCGGAGAAGCACGCACTGTGCGTGGGTAAGAATGATGGCCGTAGCGTGCTGTGCATTGCGTGCTGAAGGGTGTAGGAGTGGGGAAGGAAATGTGGATCACAGCCTGGGGTCCTGAATCCACATCGACAGTCGCTATCGAGCACGATGAGTATTCTGAGTCTTTCAATGATTACATTATATAATAAGATATCATAAATGAATACATTTTTGATAATGATGATACATTTGGTATGGGGTACATTTATACATGAACAATGATTACAAAATGAGATGATATGATGCATTTTGATAATGATAATACATTTTAATAATGATACGCTTTGATTATGACAATGATACATTTTGGTAATGATAATGATACATTTTGATGATGATAGTACATTTTAATTATAATACATTTCAATATGGATGAACAGTTTTAATAACGGTGCATTTTGATAGTGATATGTTTTGGAAGAAGATACACTTTTGATAATGATAATGGGGACGAATATATTTTGAAATTAATATCATAAAACGATAAATTTTGAAAATCATATCAATCGATATATTTTTGAAAATCATATCAAAACGATAATTTTTTGAAAATCATAATCAACGATATATTTTGAAAATCATATCAACGATATATTGAAAATCATAATCAACGATATATTTTTGATAATAATAATGACGATTACATATCTTGATGCTAATGATGCCGATGGTGACAATAAACTTCGATGATAATGATGAGGGCGACGATATGCCTTTATGATAACAGCGGTGATAGTAATAACATATTTTGATAGTGATAATGACGGCAAAAAAATAGCTTATTTGGATGATAATAATAATAGCGCCTACATATCGTGATGATGATTATGTGTATTGTGACTTTATTTAAAAGTAAAATCAATGAGTATATCGCAGGTAATAAAGATATACATCGAGCTAATGGCTATGGCGCATAAAGAGATCTTGATAATAGTAATGACGACACTAGTAGATCTAGAAGGGAGGGCGAGAGGGGACTATAACGAAATATATAAAGTTAAATATATCATGAAATAATGTTATATATCTCTGAAGTCCACATTCATATTGGTCTTTTGTTTCTTTTAGGTAATTTATGGGCTGTGTCTATTTGTGTTTTGCGTTTTAAGGGAATCCTCAATTTTCGCTTTACCTTTTTATCTGAATTACATCCTCCGCAAACATCAAACAGCATATACCCTTTTTGGTTACGAGGAATCTGCAAGCTAAGCCTCCTCTTGATCTCTCGTTATTTTCCCTTATTCTGTCTGCCTTTCTTCAGTTTTCTCCAACGTTTCTTTCTCTCTCTTCGGTCTCTAAATCACAGAGCAGTAAAAATAAGGGTAAATCGTAATAGCCTGCTATATACATGTACCACTCGAGCAGAACCCTTTTGCCAGCATCTTACACTACATTGGGTTTTGTAAGATGGTTTGGGGAACTGGGATATCCCAAACAAACAAATCGTTACACCAAATGTACTGTGAATGGTATTTACTTTTACCTTTCCAGAAAGTAAGTGACACATAGACGAGTGTATTAGGACAGTCCAAACACACACTATATTTGGTCTAGGCGTTGCTGTGGGATCG